GTAGGATGCAGCTCCCCTTGGGCTCACCGCTGTCCTGGGCCATCCACAGGGCTCTGAACTGGGCAACTGGGCACTGGGCCATTGGACAGAGGAGGGCTTCGACCTCTTTGAGAACTTTCCCGACCTGGCCTCAGCACTGTGGGCGGCGGAGGAGAGGCGGCTGGTGCCCCACCAGTTCCCCAATCACCACATCCCCATCCCAGAGCACTACCTGGCTGAGGATGCGGCAGTGAGCACGGAGGGGGCTGTGGAGGTGGGGCAGGGAAGGAGGTGACAGGGGGGTGACACTTCCCACCCTGTGCCCATCTCACAGGTGGCGGTGGAGACACGGGCTGTCATGGCATGGATGGACAAGAACCCCTTCGTGCTGGGAGCCAACCTGCAGGGCGGGGAGAAGTTGGTGTCCTTCCCCTTTGACACGGCCCGGCCCAGCCCCCCGACGCTGGCGGCTGCCCCTCGCCCACTGGACTATGAGGACGAGCATCCCGAGCTGCAGGAGACGCCCGACCACGCCGTGTTCCGCTGGCTTGCCATCTCCTACGCCTCAGCACACCTCACCATGACTGAGACCTTCCGTGGGGGCTGCCACGCGCAGGACGTGACTGATGCCATGGGCATTGTGCAGGGTGCCAAGTGGCACCCCCGGGCTGGCAGTAAGTTGGGGCCCGTGGCGCAGCTGTCCTGTGACCCCACCGCAGGAATGTGAGTGAGCAGCTGGCTGGGAACGTGTCCATGTGTCTTGCAGGCATGAATGACTTCAGCTACCTGCATACCAACTGCCTGGAGCTGTCTGTCTACCTGGGCTGCGACAAGTTCCCCCACGAGAGTGAGCTGCAGCAGGAGTGGGAGAACAACAAGGAGTCGCTGCTCACCTTCATGGAGCAGGTACGCGCTAGGACACGGTCACGGCCACCCCACCTGCCCCACACGGTTTCGCTCATCCCTTTCCTCACCCAGGTCCATCGTGGAATCAAGGGCGTAGTGACAGACCAGCAGGGAGAGCCCATTGCCAACGCCACCATTGTGGTGGGGGGCATCAACCACAACATCAAAACAGGTAGGGGGCTGTGAAATGTGGGCAGGCTGCTGGCAGCCCTGCACCGCCTCCGTCCCACCTGGCTGCCCTCTGTATCCACAGCCAGCGGTGGGGACTACTGGCGCATCCTGAACCCGGGCGAGTACCGTGTGTCAGCGCGGGCCGAGGGCTACAACCCCAGTGTCAAGACCTGCCACGTTCTCTATGACATCGGGGCCACCCAGTGCAATTTTGTCCTGTCCCGCTCCAACTGGAAGCGCATCCGGGAGATCATGGCCATGAACGGGAACCGGCCGATCCGCCTGGTGGTGCCCGGGCGGCCCATGACACCCCGCGAGCGCCTGCGCCTGCGGATGCGCCTCCGGCACCGCATGCGGCTGCGGGAGCAGATGCGGCTGCGGCGCCTCAATGCCACCACAACCACCAGTGGCCCCACAGCCCCGCTGGCCACCACGGCCCTGCCCTTCCCCTTCAGCAGCACAGCCTACACGCCCTGGAGCCAGGAGCCACCCACGGCCGGCACCTGGGAGATGGACACCGAGACAGAGGTGGTCACCGAGCTGGTGACAGAGATGGAGGGCTGGGAGCTGGGCACGGGGACAATGCAGCCTCTCACCACAGCTGAGACCTACACAGTGAACTTTGGGGACTAGGGATGCTCAGGCCTTTGCTCTGCTTCAAGCCACGGCTGGATGCCCCAGCATCCACTTCCAACATCTTCCCTGAGCCTGGGCAGCTGCTCCCAGTGGGCTCCAGCCCCTCACCTTGCTGCTTCCCCGGACTGAGGGTGTTGGCCTTCACAGCTGGGCGCTGTCAGGGACATGCTACCCCATCCCTCGGGGCTGGGCAGTGCCAGCTCACTGTCCCTGTCCCAGTGGCATGGCAGGGGTGGTCCCGCTCTCTGGGGCAGGGCCCACAGAGGTGGGCACAGCCCCTCTCCCATCCACACAGTTTTGTTACACAAATAAATCAAGTTATATTGGTATAAGCATCTTGTCCCTCCGGTGCCCCCCTCCCAGAGGACAGACAAGGGCAGTTGGTGCCAGGACCCCCTGAGGGGTGGGGGCAATGGAGTCCGTGCCCTCCCTGCGGTCAGTGCCCAACTTCCATGTCCCCGTCCTCGTCCTCGGCCCCAAAGCTGGAGAAGGTGATGGGCTGGCAGGTGAGGTCGCACAGGTTGACAAGGCAGGCGGTTTGCGTGGTGCTGAAGTCGGGCACTGTCACCAGCAGCACCCGCTGCCCCTCTGCCCCTGTGAACACAGGCGGGTGTCAGGTGGAGGAGCCCCCTGGCACCTCCCAGCCCCCCACAAGGATCTGCAGGACCACCTTGGAGCAGTTTGGACTGGAAGCGGGGCGCATTCCCACAGAAGTAGACATGAGGGCACTCGGTGAGGATGAATGGGTCCAATTTGTAAAACGGGTAACAGCCTGGGGGGGATGAGAATTAGGGGGGGAAACTGCAACCCTTGGGAGGGTGATCCCCCCCAAGCCAACAGCCCCCAAGCCCTTGCTGTACCTAGGGTGTCCGGGGCTGTGGGGCTGATGTGTCCTGCCAGCAGTGTCCACTCCAGGATCTCCAGGTAGTCATCCATGCTGCTGTATTTGAAGATGTCACTGACATTTTGTCCTGATGTCCCCAAAAACCTATATTTTTGGAGTAAGAAGGGGAGATTTGGATGCTGGACATGCTCAGACATGCTCTGCAGTGCTATGCTGCTGACAGTTGTAACCAGATCTGGTGGCACACCAGCTTTGTTTACCTGACACCGTCCAGGTTGGCCTGGTAGGGGTTGGTGACGAGGTGCAGCGTGGCGTAGGGGCTGGCCAGGGGCAGCATGCAGCGGTGCAGCGGCTGCTGTGGCAGCGTGTAGTTGGTGGGGTCAAACTCCCCGGGCATCACATCCACGGGCACCGAGGTCTGCGGGCAGAGCAGGGATCAACAGGGCAGACAAAATGCCCTCTGAGGGGGCTCAGAGCAAAGCCCTGGTGTCACTCCTGCCCCTTTCCCACAGGACACTTCACTTGGCTTCACCAGAGGCCAGATCCTGAGAGAAGGATCTGGAGCTGGGTTTTGTGCTGCCTCTCTCTAGGGGATGCTCAAAGGGAAGGTGGGCGCTGGGGAAGGGGGTTTGTCACTCCACACCCTGGGCTGATAGCAGTGCTGCTCCCCTGCCTCAGGAACTAGACTCCCTCACCCAAAAGGAACCCGATTCCCTGGCCAACCCTGAGCACTCACGCAGAGCTGCAGCAGGATCTCATCCAGCATCTTCACGGCCTCCACGCTCGCTGCCTGAGTCTTCTTGGTCAGGTACTTGGCCTGGGTGAGCAGGGAGACAGTGAAGGACAACCCTGTGTCCCCTCTGCCCCCTCCCCACATCATCCCAGCGCCTCGGAAGCTCTGTGAGCCCCCCCCCCCCGTACCTTGTTGATGGTGTCCCGGCTCTGTGTGTTCTGGCTCAGCAGGTTCCCTGCCAGGATGACTCGGGAGATGTGGGCGGCACAACTTTGCTCGCCCTCAGCACCCAGCTGCCCTGTCACCACGTCCACCAGCAGCTGGGTGCTCAGCAGGGCCTCCCCACTCCCACTGCCCAGCCCCAGCCCTGAGGCCAGCAGCACGAACCTGGATGGATGGAGAGGCTTGGGCAGCGTGCCACGCTCCCAAACCAAGGGGCATCAGAGAGCCGGGGCAGGGGGCACAACCCCCTCCACCAGCCCTCTGGCAGGGCAGGGACACAGCTCCAGCCCCGCTCCTGCTGACTCACCGGTCAGAGGTGGGCCCGTTCCAGGGCAGGGGTGGTGGCAGGTCAGCAAAGCAGTGATCCTCTACCAGGAACCTGCCATCGTCCTGCTCGGAGCCGTACACGGCCAAGATGGTCCCTGGGGCAGAGTGGGCAGTCAGCCCTGGTCAGGCACCCGTGAGGTGGGTCCCACTGTGGAGCCACCGCCGGCCCTTACCTGTCACCAGCCTCTGCACATCGATGGCTCCTTCCAGCTTAATCCGCTGCAGCTCATCCTCCAGGATCAGCTCGTCTGAGGGCTGGATGTACTTGGGCAGGGGCGGCTGAGGCACCAGGTTGTGCTGCAGGGTGGGCAGGGACAGCTCTGACAACCTCAGTGAGGACCAGCGGCCCCCAGGGACCTTTTTCTGCCCCAGGTCCCCCCCCCCCAGCATGGCCAACACCCCAGCTGGAGGCCCTGGCGGCTGGAACCCCCCTGGATGGGCAGGTTTCACTCAGCGCTTCCCCACAGTGTCCTGAACGTGAGCCCCATCCAAGGAGGAAGCGGCTCAGGTGGGCAGTGGGAGCTTTAAACTTCCCAACATGAGCTGGCTGGGAGGAGATGGGCCCCTGGCATTGCATGGGGATGCCAGAGCTCCCCTGACACCCCCCTCATCCCCCTCCCCGGTGGCAGGGAAAAGGGGTTGTGTTGCCAACCCCTTGGATCCAAACTCTCCAAGGGCTGGAAAATCATCACTGAGTGAGGGTGCTGGCAAGCAGAGGGAAACAGCTTCAGATGGACAAAGGGTGGATTTGGATAAGATATGGGCAAGGAGTTCTTCCTTGTGAGGATGGTGAGACACTGGCACAGGCTGGCGAGAAAAGCTGTGGATGCCCCATCCCTGGAAGTGTTCCAGGCCAGAGCTGGGTGGGGCTTGGAGCAACCTGGTCTAGTGAAAGGTGTTCCATGGATGAGCTTTAAGGTCTCTCCCAACCCAACCCATTCCATGATTCCATAAGCACCGCACACAGAAACATGCTGGCACCAAGAAGTGCCACCAAGCTGGCATCCAGGGACATAGCAGGCACAGCCCACCTAACCAGCTCCAATCCCTGCCAGTTCCCTGGCCACACTGAGCACGGGGAAGCCACGAGCTCCCACATGTGCTGGCACATCCCCCCAAGCAGTGTGGAGGAGGTGGAGGGGGTGCATCAGGGGAGTGTCCCTCCATTACCTCCTCGCTGATCTCCTGCAGGATGGAGGGCTGGAGCTGCATGGACTTGAAGAGCGTCCCCACCACGCAGCACTTCTCGCCCACCTGCAGCTCCGACAGCTTCCGCAGCACGACATCGTTCCCTGGGGAGAAATGGGGGTCAGTGGCCTCGGGGTGATGGTGGGCACAGCGCAGGGCTGGGGGTAGCAGCTGGAACAGCCCAGCGTCGAGGCCAGCGAGAAGCAGTGGGAATGTTGGGAAGCCTCCCGCTTTTCCTCGAGGCACGGTGCCGAGAGGACATGTGTGGGCCAGATGGGGCCAAGGAGCATTCCAGAGCCTGCAGGCATTTCCTCTGCACTGGAGGGGAAAGCTGGGTCGTGACAGGGGCTGGGAGACCCACAGCTCCCTGGGACAGTGTGTTTAGGTCCCAGGAACAGCTCTGCCCAGGAAGGGTCCGGGATGCGATGCTCCTGCCCTTGGGCATGGGGGGCTGGTGTTCCTGCTCCCCATCCAGGACATGATCCAAACATCCTACTTGGAGCTGACAGGCAAATCACTCACCACTCCCAAACCTGACCTCTGCCAGGGCCAGATCCTCCACGTCAGATACCTGCTGGAATTCAGGATCCCCACCACAGCCAGGGGAGATCCTGGCATGCTGACAGGACCTTGGGCTTTAGGCAGGGATCCACAGGGGATTGGGGCTGGGGGAACCAGCACAAGCCTTGGGAGCTGCAAGGAGTTCTGTGGCTGAGGAGCAAAAATCTCCCTCACCACAAACTCAGCCCAAAATTTCTCACCCCACCCCCAGGGACCCAGAGATGTCCCAGCCCCATCTGGTATATAGCTGTAGGACTGTCATTCCCAGTTTAAACCGGCCTGTGAAGCCCATCTCAAGCCTTGGGCCCTGGACGGGGGGGACCAGCTCCTGGGCTCCTCTCCCAAAACAACACTGCCCGTGGTGGCTCCCCCATCCTTTCTGGGTGACATTTCTCCTCCCAGGAATCTCCCTTTGCCCATCACGTGCTGCTGAACATGACTCCTGGGGAGAGCACCCCGCTGCCAACCCTGGCACCCCAGGCTGGAAACATGGATTCTCGAGCCCAGGAATGCAAACACTCTGAGTTAGAACGAAATCAATCCCATTGGAAGTTTCTTATTCTTGGCTTGGACCCCTCAAAATGTGTGTTCAGGGGGAGGGAGCTGTGCTCTCCTGATTTTTGCCTGCAGGCACTTCCTGCTTGGAGACAAACGCCCAAAATCTGGTCCCATCCTAGGACTGTGGGAGGGGGAACTTTACAAACCCCTGGGTCCTGTCACACTTGGCAAAGGCCAAGGAATGACATCTGCTGTCAGACCAGTGCTGGCTTTGCCTCCCCTTGGCTCCACGGAGATGGGGAAAGCAGGAGAACAGGAGTCCGGCCCAAAAGCCTCCAGCAAAAGGGTTTTTGCCCATAGAAGGGCAAAGCTGAGGGAAATTCGATCTCAGACGTGCCCAGGCCGGGGGGGGTGAGGGGGGGCAGAGCCGCGGCATTGCTTCATCCCGCGGACGGAAACTCTGAGTGCGAGGGTCCCACCCACGGACCACAAGCCCCCCTGGGCCAGGAAATGGCCCCCCTGGCCAAACCAGCCCTTCTCACCCAGCTGCACCCCCCTTGCCCCACTTCCTGGCCAGGGCCCCCCACCCCCACCCAGACAAACCTCACACTCAACTCCTGCTCCTGAAAGTGCCTGAAAAAGAGTCAGGGCCCCCCTGCACACATCCCCTTCTATCTCCGATGGGGAAGGCAGTTTGTCCCAAGGTCAGAACTCCAGGTGGGAGCTGCAGCAGGAAGTCCCTGGATGATCCCATCATTGCAGTGCATCCCAGAGCTGGGGGGCTGAGCTGTTTGGGGTGGGCTCTGCCAACACGTTCCCTGCCAAGAGTATAAAACGCTGCTGGAGACTGGGACAACTGGGCAAATTAGGGCTTCTCACACTGCAGGAAGGTTGTGGGTGGATCCCAACCTGGCAGGGATGGATCTCCCCCACTGCAGGGATGGCTGCTT